CTCCAACGAGTTAAAAAACAAAACCAAGTGAAAGAATGAGAGAAGGAAACGTTGATGGGAGGAAATGAATGCTTCTGTTATTGTACAGCAAAATACTCGGGGTTTATAAACATTTAATGATAGCTTGTTATGAAAAACTATTTTTTTAAAAGTTAATGCAACTTGTTACTCAAATATTGTGGCCACAGGTTCTCACTTCCCGGACTTGGGTGAGATGGGTGTGCTGGCCTGGTCCTCCTGGCAGCGTCTGTGCACACTGGAGCTGTCCCTCCCTGTCCTTGGTCTCTCAGAGGCAATGTGATATGCTGTCGTAGCAAGAGTGGCTTTGCAGTCAGGGTGGGGCTGGGCTCGGGATGTTTTAATTTGGGCAGATGTCCTAACCTCGTGATAGTAACCACATAAGGCTGTTGTGAGGATTGAGTAAATGGTGTCCTGAACGAATTAGATGCCTGAGCCCCTCCCTGCCACAGACTGAGGGGTTCTGTCTCTGGTTAGTGTTTCTTCATGGTTATCCTCTGCGATCCGCTGGGCGGCAGCCCGATGGTAAGTCTTTATTTTGGACCCAGTCCTTGTCCCTGTACACTGTCCTCCTCTCACAGCCCTGGACGGAGGTGTTCTGGCTGCTCCTCACTTTGGAGGACTCCTCAGCGGGACGCATTTCATCGCTTTCTTGGCCCGGCTCTCCTCACGTCCCGTCGCCAGCTTCCAAAACCACGGGCTGTGGCCCAAGTCTCCCACTTCCCCACCAACCCCAGCTCCCCTCACTTAGAAGGAACCAGGCTGAACAGGTGTGAAGCACCTATAGCAGTTCGTTACCCACGGGTTTTCTTTCCTACACCTGGAAGCTGTGAACTGGTTTTTCTAGAGCTTACTGGCTACTGCAACTGAGGGCACAGTGATCCCAGAACTGTATTCTAGACATGAAATAGTTTGGACATCACAGGCTCCAGCTTTAAAACCACCGACTTCTGTGATTGGTCAGTGAGACTGCCATTCAGAAAGAAGTCCATACCCATGTCTAGGCACCCACTGGATATGTCCATATCTAGGGAGCTTTTAAAGGCGTTGGAGGTCTTTCCCTTTCATGGAAATGGACTGGTGCAGAGCGTCCTGCTTATATTCAGAGGCCTTTTCAGCACAGATAATTCCAAGACAATGAAGATTTCGATCTGATGTCAGTTTCTTTGTGCAAACAAGCTTTGCATACCAAAATGGTGCAAATAAACTTAGATGACAATGGACTTGATACAAATAAACGAAACTATATTATTGTGTTTCTCCAGTATAAAAATAGATCAAATGGTAAGAGGCCAAAAATAGGTGAAATGGTACCATAACCTGTCTTGTGTAATGAGAGGGTCAAGCCGGACATTTTTCTCTCCAGCCCTTTTCTAACAGTTTTGTTGCCAGGTCGACAATGTTGTTGCCAGACAGGACAGGATGGTCAGCTCTAAGGGAGATTAAGTGCCTTTCCCAACCAGATGTTCTGTTTAATAAGCGTCAGTTGATGCTGCTGGCTTTCAAAGCTCTATTCACAAAGAAAGAATGGAAAAAGCTCTAAAGATCTGTTTCTAGATAATATAAGCAATAAAACTTGAAATTCAGTGGACAGGTTCTATTCCATAGTTACTGCAACACAAACTTTTATCATGGTTATATCGACCAAAATAACTGGACATGTAATTTCAAACATTTAACTAAAAAGAATGAGAAATTATTGTGTGCAAGTTAAGCCAAAACTTAATACCCCAAAGAGTAACTAAGGTTACTTAATAAACAATTATTCTGATTGGCTGGAAAACTGTTTCACAGCTGCTCACAAACACACCGGACTTATTCTGAAAACGATGTAGATAAGCTCTAGGATACAGTCCTCTGTGCCTTTTGGTTCTTTCCACTCGTGAGTCAAAGCCATTGGAGGAAAGTGTAAATACAAACTCACCCAACGAGACATAGTCAAGTTCTGTAAAGGACAGTAAAGGAAAACCTGGTTGTTCTGGACACTTGAATGCTAAAATGATGGACAGGGCGACCATCTAAACTGTAAAAAACAGTGTAGTTTGCACGCCCACTGATCCCACAATTCTCTTGGTGCACTAAAGCATGAGAATTAAATAATTCATGGAAAGTGCTTAGCAACTAACAGACACTATATTTCCCTCCTAATGTCTTTATATTTCTGTAGCCAGAAATCCCAATGTTAACTTGAAATAAAAGCTGATTATAGTCTTTAGAGTCAAAAGAAATTCACCGTAATTTCAGTATTACAGCATTAGTGACATCTGCTGGAAAATGTAGGTGTTACAGTTATAGCTACTCTGATTTTTAATGTGTAATAAAATTAAGATAAATTTTACAGACTAGGCAACAAAATGAAAACCCAAAGGCAAAAAAAATTAAATGCCTACATGGATGCCAATATTATGAAACTAATAATTTCTGAGTGTATATTCTAAAATATATAGGAGAGCAATGAACCTAAGAAACTTGAATGAATTCTAATAATAGAAACATTTACTCAGCATACATGTTTATATAGTGATTTAAAATAGAGGTCTGGGGACTTTATGCCAGTCTGAGTCTCTTTTTATGATCATATGCCAAAGAACCACCCTTCTCAAGTTTTCAGATCAGAGTTCACTGTGGGGCGTCCTGAGGAGCACCTCAAAGAAAGCCAGCTGTTTCAGAGTGTGGGGTTGCAATAAAATAGAGAAGGACATCCGATAGATTATGGAAGGAGACAGCAGATGATGCTGTTTTAAACGTGAGCCTTAAGTAGCACAAAGCAAACGCCCTAAGCCAGGCGGGGGTTGACTACTTGTGACCAGAGGGGAGAACTGGGACCGATTACAGGGCGGCAGCTACAGCCCTTGGGCCAGGGCACCGTCAGTCAGGTCCCTTTACCTGTGGTCTGAGGCTGCTTCCAGCCTATAAGGACCGACTGGAGTGTGGGAGACCATGTGCCCGCGAGCCCCAACCATCTGTCTGACGCTTTACAGAAACAGTGCACAACCCCTGGTCTGCTAGATCGCCTGCATCAGATTTTCACGCCTCCCGTCTCCACGCCCCATTGAAATTGGCTCAGCCAGGAGCCGCCTGGGTCAGTGGATCCTGGACAGTGTGCCTGTTCCGGCAGCCACGGCCTGAGTGGGAGGCGAGACGTGACCTGCAGACGTGCAGAGAATGAGACAGGCGTGCAGCTGACCTGCAGACGTGCAGGGGGACACGCGTGTTGTTGGTAGTCTATCGCCGTTTGCTATGAGAATGTCACTCCTCTTTCTATAAAGATTTTAACGTATTTCCTAAAAATAGGACCAGGATTTCTAGTACTTCCTGTTTTTACTGAAGCTGGTCCTGCTTTCCTCCTCCACCTGTATTTGCAATGTTAAGAGGCTATGAACAGCCCAAGAGTTCAAATGTTTCCATCTTAAGTGTCCACTGTCGTACACCTCATGCTGTTTGGAAGCCTGACTTGTGACCATACCTAATTCAACATCACTTCCATTTCTGGCTTGTGGGTGGGCCTCGGGTAGCTTCAGCAGCTTAGGGAATGGGCTTCCCCTGCAATGCCCGCTGTACCCACCATCCAACACTGGCACCTCTTTGTCCAGCACTGGGGGGTCCGAGAACGTAAGACGGCACCCTTCACTCTTACCAAGCATTTGGATCAAAGACATGAGGTTATCAGGTGAAAAAACAAAGACAAATACATAACGACCGGAATCCGCGGGCACTTCCTGGTCCCTTGCCATGTTTCCCCCCTTCACAAGAGCTCACGCTTCAAAGGCCAGGACTTGGTTGCTCCCGTCCCGGCACGTGGCGCAGAGTTTCACATGTACATAGATGCCCAGTATGTAACCTGAGTGGATAGATGATGTACTTAATGCTGACGGTCCCGTGAATTCATGTGAAAAGCTTAAAACAGTGTCTGATACTAACCACATAGTAAATTGAATGATTACAAAATAAGGTTTAGATTAGACGTTTGAAGTTTGCCTTAAACTGACCTTGGAAAAATAGGTGGGAAGTGGATGAAAGAACGTACCTGAAGCCTCAGGCACAGGAATAAGCATTGTTTCCACATGTAAGGAAACCTGGGCAGACAGGAAGGCTGAGTATAGAAGGCTCTACAATCCAACATTTGCTAAACCAAATGAATTCCCAATGACACTGGTCACTTTATACAATGCTGATTTTAAGTCCACTGCTATGAGATGAAGGGGGTATAATCAAAGCTTGTACTTGAAATTGACAGTGCTTCAAAACTTAACTCAGTTTTGTGTCCTTAGGACCTACAGCCTAATCTGCAGAAGAAATCATTTGCTGTACATAAGTCCCCCTTATCCGCGGGGGATACAATACGTTCCAAGACATGCCCCCCACCAGCAGATGCCTGAAACAATGGGTAGTCCCAAACCCCATATACTGCATTTTTCCCAATACATAACACACCTTTTCACTTAAAGGAAACACCTTATGGCTTCTCTTTGGCGTGACATATCTGAATTGCCAGCATCACTGCTCGTGTGCTTTGGGACCATAATTAAGTAAACTGCGGGTGACCTGAACACAAGCCAAGTGTTTGTGTTCTCCATCTGATAAGCGAGATGGCTACTAAGTGTCTAATGGGTGGGGAGCATCTATAGCGTGGAGACCCTGGACAAAGGGACGATGCTTGTCCCCAGAGAGGACTAGATAGCACGAGGTTCCGTCACACTATGCACAATTTAAAACCTATGAACTGTATATTTCTGGAACTTTCCATGTAATATTGGGTTGTCAGAAAAGTCATGACCAATTTTTGCAACGAAAAACATAGAAAAATATGTCATGACTTTTCTGACAACCCAATATTTTCAGACCACAGGTCACTAAAACTTCAGAAAGCCAAACCGCAGATAAGGGGGACTCCTGTACTGAATCCATTCTAACTACTGTTTAACTGTACTAACACCACACCCATGTAAAAAATTTTAAGACCAATTTAAAACATACCACATATTTAACTTTATTTATCATTGTCATTTAAAGCTTGATTCTATAAAACACAAAAAGACATTTTTTAAAAGTTCTGTGTCACCGGAATTGAAACAGTAGAAATATCAAAAGCTTTGTAGGTATAAGGTATATAAATTAAACTCAAATAATTGGATTTTTTCAATATGAAAACTACACAAATGAAACAAATGGCAAAAGGACCTAGTAGCAATATTTTGTTATTTATGGATTATCAGTTACTTTAGGACCTAAACAAAGATTCTGAATATTCAGGCTTCTCTTGCAGTTTCATATTTAATTATTTTCCTACCTACATTCTGAGTCAAGCTATTTTACCCAAAGGTCTGGTTTAGGAAGGCATTTAGCTTTATAGGAAAAGTTTCTCCGTCTACAGTTACCCCCTGCAAAGGAATTGCCAATACAGTGCTGATGTAATCCGCTGCTGCTTCCCTTTTGAACAGTATGCAAAAAAATCATGTCAACCCCCTGGAAAGTCAGACAGACACCAAAAAACGGGACAGCTGTGCATAGCTCAGTAAAGTATGTTAAGTTTCCCACCTACAGAGTAACCAATGAAATAAAATGAAGTACAGCTGACTTGGCTTCAGGAGACGCACACTGGCGAGTGCACCGTTGTCCTCCCGTCCTCCTCAGTCAGCGACGGGGATTTTGTAGGCCACCACGCTGTTCACTTTGTGGATCGTAGTAGTGAATGAACGGAGACGGACTTGCTCAGAGTTGGTAATGAACTGTGGTCCCGACTCCTCCCATTTTTCAGGCACAACCAAATCTTTGTCTGTATAAATCAGCAGATCAAATGAACCTAAATTGGGAATAAGATCATTCAAGTACATTAACTTTTAACAGGTAAAACTACCCTCCCTGTTTCGCTCCCATTTTGAACCACCAGCAGTGTTAGAAAAGGTAGTTTAGCCTGGTCTCCAGTCACAAGGTCATTGCTTTTCCTCAATGGAAATTTATTTTTAGTACAGAAAACGCTATCTTCTTTTTAATTTACCTTATGAAAAATTCAAGTTTTTTTTTCTCTAAGGAGAAAACCATTTTAAAAATTTGCAGAAAGTGTATGATCACACGTGGGAAAGCATGAATGTAAGTCCCGGAAAACCGACATGCTGGCTCTGTGACTGCCGTCCCCCACTGCTCAGAACAGGGCCCATTCGGGTATTCAGAAAACAGCTGATGAATGAAGGCGTAACCAAGAAAAGCAAAACACAATCATAGCTATAGTTTTAATTATGTACATAAAAATATGTACAAATAAACAGTGAAAGGAGTTACATCAAAATGTTCAAGAGTCCTGTATTTTCATTCCCTTCCTTTTCAGCATTTCCAAATTGTCTAGAACGCATATAACATTTACTTAACGCCTTCTTCCTCATGTATAGTACATGATATTGATAATTAAGAAAAAATTAACAAAGGGATAATTCTTAAAGCAATAGCTTAGTCTTTTCCCCAGCAAACTTCAGCCCATGTGAAGTTGTAAAATACTCACACGCAACTTCCAGCAGTGGCAGGAATGTCACTGTCGCTGTGATCTGTCTGATGACTGACCGGATTTCATCTTGGATAGCTTTCTGAGACTTTTCTCTGGGTGTACTATCAAAGAAACCAAGTCAACTCATTTCTAGTTTTAATGAGTTATTTAAAACATTGGTAAGATCATTTATTTCATTAAATGCTTCCAAAATCAAGTAATACATTAAAAAGGTTTTTCTTTTCTTTTTTGATGAGTGTAAGTGTATTCTTAGGACCTATTACTCAGTAGGCAGACTATGTATCTTTATTATTTCATTTATCCTTCTAGGGTTGGCTTTAGTATCAGATCATATAGTATCAGATGACTAGAAGCTCTGTCAAGTGGTTCAAGTTAGGAAAATTTCACCAACTCTTAAAATAACAAGTGGTATCTAAAAACATTTGATTGGTAAATCATTTTGGCATTTTTAGTAATGCCTAAATGTCTAATTCCCTACTGCCTCAAATTATTTTTATAAGCTAAAAATTTCCTAATATGACCAAAGGCTTCAGGAGCAAACTTGACTTTATTGTGAGAAGTGGTCTGAGTTTAAGGGAGCCTGCCTAAGAGGGTGCTGGGCATCAGCACAGGATGACGGGCACCTCCCACCCAGGGGTACTGGGACTTCAGCTTATGAAGCGTCTTAGGGAGTTTGTGGTGAGGAGTGCAGTAGACAGAGCCGCACCTTAGCTGGTACAGAGTAGGCTCATCCCTACGGTTACAGGAACCTGTAAACAATCCCCTGAATGGTCCATCTGGACATTGTGTGTACTTCTGCACACAGCACCATAAACACTCAAGTCTAGACGAGAGGCAATTCTGTTACAAGTACACTATCTATACAAAGCAATATGCTCAAGTGAGCTAAATTCTTTTCCATGGGAGACTGAAAATCAAATTAACATATCTTAGAAAATTATGCCTTATATGAAACTAGTTCAATATAATCAGAACTCATTTTAGTCAAGAAAACAAGTTTTGGAAAAAAATGTATGAAAGTGGAAATAATTTAATTCACACTTACCTGTCCTCTTTGGCAGTCTTGTCACACTCGATATCAAACTGCCATCTTTCAAGGACCTCACCACTTTCAATATTTGAGATGACTACCACCAGTTTCTGAACTGAACATTTGTATAACCAATCTGCAAGACACAAGGCGCCGTTTGCTCCGCTGCTTTACAGAGTAACACTCTTCCCAGGCACTCCCTCATGTCCTCAGCACTCAACCGCTGGCGTTCCAGAGCTCGCCCATCACAACCTCGCTCCTTCTGCAGACCCTCCGTGTCTGTGTGGGATGCAGCACTGGGCGCCGAGTAGCGAGTGTGCGCTACTTCCGTCCTAATCCCAGGTGGGAGCGTAAGCGAGGGGCATTAACCCAGACGTCACCCCAGTGTGAAATGATCACTGTGTGAGCTGCTAGGAAGGTGCGGTAGACGGTGCAATGCGAGCAGAAAATGGGAAACTCCGACTCCCTCGGGGGGTTGTCATAGTTAAATTATGAGTTTAGCTCTAAGAATCAACAGCATTAAATCTGCAGGACAGGGAAGAGGATACAGGTCCTAAATACTCAAAACTGCAGTTGAGAAAGGGGGTGAACCAGGTGAGGCTGGCGAGATGAGGGGGGCGTGTGGGCTGAACTGAAGACACTGCGCGTCCAGGGAACTCAGTACTGTGTTTTAAGCAGGTGCAGCGTAACTATCATTCTGGCTGTGATGTGGAAAGTGGACTGAAGCGGGCTTGGGACACTAACCAGTAATTCAACAAGAGGTAATGAAGGCTTGTAGGACAAACTGGTAGAGATGGGGCAGTAGACAGGCTCAAGAGACGCCGTGGTTACCACTGTTACGAGGTGTGCTGGATGGCCCATGAGAGTAAGCAAGGGGAGCGAGTCAGGGGTAGCGCCCCAGTTTCTGGCTTGTATCGCTGGTTGGATGGTTGTTTCAGTCACAGAGGACAGAGAATTGAAATGGAGATGACCCTAAATTTAGTTTTTATATACTGAGTGTGAAGTAGCTCCGGGCTGGCCACCTACAGATGTCGGGGGAGCCATTCTACATGAGCCTGGAGTCAGGAAGACTTGGGTAAGAAAGAAGGTTGGCGTCAACTACACAAGGTTGTCAGTGAAGCGTCTACATGCCAGAGACCATCTAGAAGAATGGCACTGAGAAGGGGCCTGAGACTGAGCCCTGACTTCATCTTGGAAACTGGGATAGCATGTTCAGGGTCAGCAGTGTTTTTATTTTTTCTTAGACAAAAACAATTTAGCAATGTTTAAGGCTTGTGGCCACCTAGGTCTCTATTGTAACCCCCTAAAAATGTAAAAATATTCTTAGCTTGCAGACAGCACAAAAACAGGTCGTATGCTGGATTGGCCTCTCGGCCTTGCTGACCCCAGCACAGATCCACAACGTTTTATCAGGTTAGCTCTGCAGAGGAGACTGAGTGGTATTTTTTTTTCCTTTTAAAATTGGAAATAATTCAAATCAAAACAAAGAAGTAAAAAATATAAGACAGAAGAAATAGGGTGGAGTCCATAAGGCTAGAGGGAGGGGAGTCAAAGCAGACTGGACAGTTTGCCTCTAGGAAGAGCAATGCCTCCATTTTAACTAAAAGAAAAGGGGGGTGTAGGGCCGGCCGAGTGGCGCGATGGTTAAGAGCTGGCTTGGGATGCCAGAGGGCCCCGGTTCGGATCCCACATATAAGGGCCAGTGACACTGCCCTCCACAGCTAAGATGCTGAACAACAGCTCAACCTGGAGCTGGGCTGCCCTGAGTTGCTGGCGACGGCGTAGGCTGCAGCCCCTTCTGCAGTGGGTTGCCATGGGCTACCGTGTGTAGCCAGCAGCCAGTGTGAGCGGCCAGCAGCCGGCATGAGCGGCTGTCCAGAAGCCGGCAACTGATCTGCCTCACCCGGGAAGAGCGCAATGATGGTGCCAACTTGGGCCAGTGAAGCACCGTCCTCCACAACTAGACTGAAGACCAAAAGCACAGCAACTTGTCTGTTTCCCTTCCCCCAATTCCCCAATTAAAAAAAAAAAAAGAAAGAAAAGGGGGGAGTTACATAGGAAGGTCTAGATACCCCTGAGATGAAATGTCATCAGGGGACTCAAAGAAGACAAGCCCCAAGCCCAGTAGGTCAGGCAACTCGCTTCTCCATCAAATCAAGATGGAGACACAGACCCACAGCTGCCCGGAGGGTTCAGGCCCGATCACGTGAGCGCAGCCTTATGAAGGGCTGTGGTGATTTAGTTCTGAAGTTAATTAAAAAGACTACCGCTTCATTTTCAAAATGAAGCTACTTGAAAAAAACAAGAAAAATGATTCATGAATTAAAAACAAAACAAAACTCTGGAGCACTTTTTGGAACTCATACTTTGGGAAGACAGGGAGACACATCCTTCGACCCGGAAAAAGGGAGAATCCCAAGTGGAGGGAAACATGAAAGAGAAACTGGTGGGATTGTAGAAAAAAAAAAGAAATAGATGGAAAACAAGGACTGAGCCAACCATACAGCAACTACTGAGCTAAAGAAAAAACATGAGTGTTTAGAAATGGCCTACTGACTCATAGGCAGGATTTTTCAAACAGAAAAGTGGAAATAGGTGAAAAATAAGAAAACTCTACTGGGTGCTCTATTATTTAGTTTTGTTTTGTTTTTTTCCTTTTTTGAAGTTGAGTTCCTAGGTGGAACCCAATTTAATTTCCTTGATCTTAATAATGACGGCTTTACACTCCCAAGCAGGTACGGAAAATATATTAAGAATAGACAGTGTTTTGTTCACAGCTAATAATGCCGTCATAATTATGTAGAATTCCAACTCATGCCACTGGCCACAGAAACTGCAAAAGGCCTTTCTAAGGGAGTCGCTAGAAACAGTGTCATTAAGGCACGTCAGCTCCCTAACAAAATATTCCGGCCCCTCAAAATGTGAGGGGAGAAGGGTAGGATTCCTTTCAGTTTATTACTTGCTTCCTCCCAACTGAGAGGCACTGTACTTGAGATGGTTGTGTGTTTTACACCTTCTGCGTACAAAGTTGAAAAAATGACCACCAAAATGCTAGACAGAAGATGTGGATCCCAGAAGACCTGCAAAACTCAAAACTGTTTCCAACAATTAAATACCTTTCAGTTGTTCCACCACATTATTTAGGTATTTCATGAGCTCAGGATCAGTAGTTACGAGCAAGGTGAGTCCGTATTTCTGCACTCGAGTAAAAGTCTCAGATGGATATACGCCGCGCTGATACAAAATGCTGTTGATGCCAAATGCTGAAAGCAAAAGAAATGAGACAAGAACAAAACACTTTTAGATATGGCTACGGTTTCGTTAACGGTATTAGGCTGTAAATGCCTCAACACTTGTGTTTTTATGTGTCTTGCTGAAAGCAGAGTAGGTACAAAGTGCCATTAAACATCCTTAAAAGCTTGTTTCTAAGTAAGGGAAAGAGATACCTTCATTTAAGTGGTAGGGCAAGAAAAACGCCAAACGTGCAGCTGAGCGCTGCCAAGCCTCGCCTCGTTACAACGTCCAAGTGCAAACTCGGATCACGTGGTCAGAGGACGTCAACAGGCTCCTGCACCCAAGCAAGCCTCTCCCTCTGTTTTCCTCCCTCCGCGCACGTCCTGCCAGGTTCTACCGTAAGGCACAACCGGCCTGGTGCAGAACAGCGCTTCCCCAAGTCGGTGCATCCCCACCGACCCCAGCCCCCCGGGGTGGCGCGGGTAAAACCACCCCCCGAGGCTCCACCCGTCGCACTGCGTCCTAAGCCGCCGGGGAGGCACCTCACAGCAGCGCTCGGAGGGCCTCGGCGACGCTAGGCCGCCGCCTCCACCGTGACCTGGGTGGCGTCCCGAGGAGGCGCCCGCATCCTCCCTGTCCCGACCCCCCGCCGGGCGGGAGGCTCGCCTGCTGGGCCGCCCCGGCCCGCCCGCTTTCCCGCCCTCGGGCCTGCACGAGGGGGACTCACAGAAGAACTCGGCCACGATCTCGGCGCTGCCGCGCAGGGTGATGCCTTGCTCCCGGGACAGCTGCAGCGCCATGGCGGGCCCCCAGCCGCGGCGCGCGCCCGCTCGCACCCAGCAGCCCCCGGCTCCGCGCCGCCGCCCCGCCACTCGTTTCAAAAGTAACGACGTAGCACGCCGCCGCCGCCGCGCAGGCGCAGCGGCGCTGCCCGCCCTTCCGCCCTCGCGGGAGCTGGCGAGCCGCGCAGTCGCAGTGGGGAGGCGCGGTCGGCTGTTCCGGGTTGTCCGCTCCGGTCGTGGTCAGCCGCGCGGGTCGATCCCGGTGTGGGCGGCCGCTCCCCGGGCCCCCGGGCGCCCAGGTGCACGGTCTCTGAGTTTTAAAGATATTTTCAAAGCGCCGTGAGTCGTCCGCCAGCCGCGCCTTGCGTGGCCCCAGGGGCCCCCAGCGCACGGGGGAAGCGTTTGCCACACACGTCGGGGCTCCGCAAAGCGCCTGCGTGTCGCGACGGGGTCCCGCTGTCCCGGCCCGCCCGGCCCGGCCCGGCCCGGCGCACCTCCGCCCCGGCCCGCAGCGAGGCCGAGGCGGGCGGGGCTGCGTTCTCCCCGCCCAGCGGCCCGTGGCGGCGGGTCCCCCAAAAGAAACGGCTTGACAGGGAGCTTGGACTCCCCAATTCGGGGGCTTTTCATGTTAGGCTGAGAAGTATGATGGAGGAGGTGCACGATTCACGTCCGCGGCAATTGTGGAACCATTTTATTCTTAAAGCGGCTGGAAAAATTACTTGTAAAATGTGTCTGAAACCCTTGATCAGACATGCTGTGTTGTTGATTTGAGGACTAAGTTAGTTTCCTAGTGCTCGTAACGGACGACCGCCGGTGAGTGGCTTAGACCAGCACCCGTTTGTTTTCTGCGTCCCGCAGGTCAGGAGTCGGCACGGCAGAGCGGGGTGCGCTGCTCGCGTGTCCCAGGGTTGGAACAAAGGCGTCTGCAAGTGAGGTCTCCTCCAAGCGCGGGGTCCTCGTCCCAGCCCCGTGGCGGCCGGCGGGATGCATGTCCTCGGGGCCTTGGGCTGAGGTCCTGCCTTGCCCGCTGCTGGCCAGAGGCCAGCCTTGTGCCTGTGCCAGGTCATCCTTCCACGGACCTTGTCACTCCGAAGCTTCTGACTTCCGAGAGGTCCCTTTTAAAGGCTCCCAGAACGAGGTCAGACGCAGTCAGATAATGTCGCCTTGACCCTCCTCATCCAGGAGGCGAGATCCCCTCCTATGCACAGGTTCTGGCCACACTCAAGGATGTGCTCCCCGGAGGCCAGAGATTTAGGGGGCCATCTTTGAATTCCCTCTAGCACCATAGTATATATCAGATTTTGATCAGTTTGAAGAGTAAAACACGTATAATGGAATAATTTTTTCCTTACATCCTGTAGTCTTGGTGGTACGTGGTGCGTGCGTGCGTGCGTGCGCGCGTTTAATTTAGAGCCAAACAGGACATGCCTGGAAGCAAGATTTCAACAGACAGGAAAACGCTTCTGTGTGTGTGTTTAAAACATCATCTTTGCACTCCTTCCACCGGGAAACTGGGTTAGAGCCAGAATTCTGGCATCACGCCTGTGGAGCACTGATGGCCGCCTAACTCCATATAAAAACTGTCTCTTTTTCTAAGGAACTTCACATCGATACTCAGCACTTCAGGCGAGACTTCCTTGGGTCCCATAGTAACATACTTTGTAAGCTGTCTACCCGAAGGTGCAAATACTTGTTAGTATAATTTGGAGACTCTAGAATTTAAAAGCCTAGCAAATACATAAGTTTTCCATAGAGGAAATATTTATTAAATACTTTGTGTTCTATGAAGAGATAGAAGAAATAAGATTCAGGAAGTGTGGTCTGTATTTTCCTAGAAGTTTCTAATCTAGTTTTGTTTAAATATGCATACCTAAGAAAAAAAGAAAGAAAAATGAAAGGCTCACGAATTTGGCCTCCCCGGGCTTCTGCCCACTCGGCAGCCCCCTTTCAGAGGGCTTTGGTGCCCGCCTGGTCCTTTACCAGCTTCTCCACCTCTGCGCTTTTCCTAATGCTCTTCCCTCAGCCTAGAAATTTCACTTTATCTTCTCAAATTGCTAATTATATTTATACCCTTTTTTTTTAACTTAAATGTCACTGCATTAAAGAAATTTTCTTTAACCCATCAGGCTATAAGGTCCTGCTCTTACATATCCTCAAAGCATCTCACAGCGCTATTTCAGAGCATTGATTTCATTGTTACATTGTTATAATTCCCTGAGGACTTGTGTTAATATCTTCCCTGCTTTGGTGGAGGACCCACGATGACATTTAGTGAGTGCCCCACAAATATTTGTGGAATGAGTGAGCATTTGAATATTTGCCTAGGAAAACTTCATGGAAGAGCCCCAAACGTTGTCCAGTTGGAGAGCAAGTTGGATGGATGAAGTAAGGCCACTTCTAGGGAGCTTTGAACACCCATCTGCATTGATGGAACTGGAGGTACCAGGGAATTTCTAGGTTCTTAGGACTGACATAATTAAAGGGGCATTTTTGCACATGTAAATTCAGTAAAGGTTATAGAATGAATTGCGTACTGGACAGTCTAGAGTGGTGGTCCTCACACTTGAGTGTGTGAAAGAATCCCTTCGGTATTTTGGTAAATATGTAGGCTCCTGGCTTCTCTAAGCCTGAGTCAGCCCAGGAGCAGAGCCAGTAGCCACAGTTGCCTCTCCAGCACTTGAAATGCGCTGCTCTGAATTGAGGTGTTCTACAAGTATAAAATACCAGATTTCGTAGACCAAATATAAAAAGTATAAAGTATCACATTGATATGTGTTTCAATCAATTACATACTGGAATTATATTTTCCATGCACTACAGTAAATCATATTATTAAAACAATTTCACTTGTTTTCAGTTTTTAACGTGACTACCAGAACATTTAAAATTGCGTATGTGGTTCACGTTATATTGGGTTGTCAGAAAAGTCATCATGTATTTTTTCTGTTTTTCGTTGCAAAAATGCATCATGACTTTTTCAACAACCCAATATTTCTATTGGGCAGTGCTGGCCTACTTTGTGGGGTCTCAGAGAAGGCAGGTTTTAAATAGCATCCCAAATGATTCTGATGCAAGCCCTTAAATCACTCTTTGAAAAGCAGAAGACTGATGGATATTTAAGTGATGGTGGCCAAGGCGGTTGACAGCCCAGACGGACTAGATGGATGCCAGAGAGTTTGAATAAGAAGGTATATATCAGAGCAAGACACTTTGAGACAAAACTTGAGTTGATGACAGATGTGGAGGAAGGGTGAAACGGTAGTACAGATAAATCCAAGATGGCAGGTCTACAGTACAGCAGTAGTGTTGGCCAAAGCCGTGGGGGTGTTAGGAAGAGCTGCCGAAACTCTGAGCCTGTTCTGTTTCTTATTTATTATCGTAACACTTAAGATTCTAGAAAGGGACTTCTTTCCATTAACTGTTGGGTGCTTGCTTTGACACTGACCCCATCTTATCTAAAGCATTCACATTTATCTTCACAAAATGTTTTTGTAAAACTTGTTTTCAGTTACTTGAGTTTGCCTTCATTCACAATTCAGTAAATTCTTTCTAATGTGTATTGTATAGGGGAAGGCTGTTTGGATAGGGAGAAGAATAAATTAAGATTTATTTTTGAGAAAAATTGAAGCAGAGTGCATAACCAAACCTATGTTAATAAAGAGTAACTATGAAAATGCGTGTCGTAAACAGGTCTGTATTCCATATTAGGATGATAAAGCCAGAAATACTCATAAACATTTCTACAGGTAGAATCAAGGGGAATTTTAGACTGAAAGTAACTTAATTAATGGCTTATTCGAACAATCTTATAGATGAGGAACTGATGTCCAGAGTGGCTATATAGTTAGTCTACAACTCAGTATTTAGTTAGTAGATTTAGTAGCAGAATCTAGGGTTCATGACTTATCTCTTTGGAAATTATTTCTAGCAGAAGACATGCTGAACAATGCTGTTATTTTTTAAAGGTTATTTTTTTTAAATCAACAGATTGTAGATTAAGATTTTACTCAGTAACCTGTACACATAACTTGCCAAGAAAATGGCAGTTACAATCCATAATAAATTGTATCTTAATATGCAAGCAGTTCCAACTGCCAGAAGATGGCACTGTTTACATGTGAAATAGCACCTTTTAAGGATTCAGTCTAGATGTGCTTCAGTTGAAAGTAAACTGAAGGAAAAATGAATTTAGTGGTTCCTGAGGTATTTGTGTATGTGGAATACATCAGAATTAATTGTTGAGTCATAACATATTACAGAACTGGTATCCTTCTTTGCAACATTTAGTGTGTGTGCATGTGCACATGTGCACACCCCAGAAACATGTATATTAATATTTACATTTAATTTGCATATTAATTTGTTTTACATGAAAAAACATTTTAGGTAGTTGACTCATTATTCTTACAGACTTAAGAGAAGTTTTCTTCAAATTATCAGGTGTTATTTTATTCTTGAGGCCAACATCTTGAAATAGAGCGGTTTATTCTAACTCGGATAAAACAGTGAGAGATACCTTTATGATACTGGTAATAAGACATTCATCTACTAAATTTTGGAGAAAAATCTTGTGCACACAGGTATTTAATTATGTCTGGGGAATTTGCTTTTTTTAAAAAAAAGAATGCTGTCATAAATATTGAAGTTTTTTTCTTATATAGATCATTTCTCATTTGATGTGAAATTTTCTGCTCTGATTACTTAAGGTTTATTTTGTAGATCTAATGAATGTTTATATTTTTATGGGCTTAAGAATTAAATTGCATAATGTAAATCTTCTAAAGATCCATTTTTCCCACATACTTTCCTCCTAGGACCTTGATTGTTGAGACACATGTTCATAAAGATAGCACAACAAATTTGAATTGTGACATTTTATTAATAAGCGATGGCTTAATGAAGTCAACAAATGCATCTCTGCACTGGCATAATTCATAATTTTCCATGATCCAGTTGCATGCATAGGATATTAAAATATTATCTTTAGTAAAAATTAAGCACTAAATATTATTGAAAACATAATTCTGTAAATTCTTATAATGAAAAACATAGGCTGTTTCTTATCAGAAAGCATTATTATGTTTTATTATAATTTTATTTTGA